TAAAGTCAGATTTAAACTTCTGAAAACATGTAGATGATTTTTAAAAGAAATTGAAGTCAGACTAAACAGTATTTGTTAAGTTATTGGAAGTTGAAAGATGAAGCAAGATGAAAAATACCTTTTGGACATTGAGAATGTCATTGAAGGTCAAATCTTTTTCGACCTTGAGAATTCATTGAAGGTCAGATTTGAACTGTTGATAACTTGTAAATGATTTTGAAAAAAATTGGTCAATTTTGACCTTGCAAGTTGAAAAAGACTTTTTTGACCTTGAAAAGGTCACTGAAGGTCAAATATTAAATATAAAGTCAGATTTGAACTTCTGGAAACATGTAGTTGATTTGAAAAAACAGTATTTGTTAAGTTAATGGAAGTTGAAAGAATTTGTTACAGACGCCAACCGCCAACCACCGACCACCAATCGCCGTCAACAAAACGGAGACCACCCAATATGTCACCACTTTTTCGTGGTGACATAATAATATATTGAATATAATAACATTGAATGGCAGGTGAGAAGTCATATAGGCCTCCCAATACCCCAAATACAAATCTAGAAAAGTGAAGAGGGTCATAGTATATTATGACATTTTTGTTTCTCAATCTGAATTGGAACAAGAGATGCGATGAGTTAAAGTAATAGATTGGAGCGTGTGATACAAATGCCGCAAAAGTCATAGATTTCCCTAGACCGCTATTTAGAAAGGGTTCATTTAGGGAAACAATCCCCCAGCATCCAACCTATTTGTGAAGCTATTAATATCCCACATGAAACCACTTATTCCTATCAAAAATAATCTGAATATGCCCCTTAAAAGCTATTACACAAACATAATGCATAAAGTTAGTCAACGCCAAATTGACACATGAGATCTAAATGGGGGCCCTGTATTTCAAATGTAGAGGGCATATTAACGAACATTGGATATGTTTATGTGTAAAAAGTAAAATCAGAGAAAAAACTTTCTAAAAATGTCTTATCTAGTACCATTTTTTTCTCATGGATGTGTCATTATTTTTTGGGAGGGGGGGGGGGGGTGCGATCGCCAGAGGAGGAGGGAAAATATCGCAACAGATTTCGGACAGTCATATGTGATTTGCGATTGCGATTTTCTGAGGATTTAAACAGGTGCATATATTAGACCAAATTTGTTTTACCTCCAAGAAAAGCACTCCTAGAGATGATAAGATCATTTCAATTTTGAGACAGGGAAGATGCAAACAACACACCCAAATGTTTTGTGAAATGTTTTTTCCTGATTTTCAACCCCATCCACCCCTGCTTTTTTAATTTTTCTTGCATCAATACGTTGTGTTCTAGCACACAGTTCTCCTCTTCCTTTATTCTGGGGTTTTCAGTAAAGGGGGGGGGGGTGCGATCGTGGCATAAGCGAGCTAAAAACTATTTTCTAAGGTTTGTTCATAAATTGATTCAAAAATTGATGCAACTTCAAAATTGAGCTAGAATTTCTTCAAAAAAAAGCATTTTAAAGCTATTTTCCCCTTCTATCTAGTGATTTCATTCTTATTGGCACCCATCACACCACTGGCTACGCCTATGTATTGTAGGTTGGTCATCTTGCCATCCACAGACAAAGTAGTGCTAAATAGATTTTTTGTGAGAAAAATAAGATTAACATTCCGTCCATCATCTTGACCACCCTGTAGATCTTAGTATAGCAAAGTGAGAGGCGTTACCGTCGTGTGACTCTTAAAAGATAAAAATCGTTACTCATAGCACAACGTCACTTTAAGTGCTACATTCTGGTATACGTGCAAATATACATTCTATAAACTGTATCTTTAATGTGAAGGTATTACAACAAGAGCATATTGGTTATGAAGTGTACTGGAAAATCCCATCATTTTACCATTTTTCCAAGATATCCTTGCTCATCTTTGTAGACAAATCAGTTTAACGTGCCATATAAACCTTGAACCATATGTAATGATTACATAGTGCGGTTCTCCTACTCCATTCATAACTTAAGTATATTTATTTATCTCATATGTTTTCTAAGTAGAGTCGAGAAAGATAATACAACATGATTATATATTTGTAGTTGGAGATCAATGTATTTCATCTTATAATTAAGGAATTTGACCAAATGCTATTACGTTACATTCAGTCACTCTAAATCTGGTTCATCCAAAATGTACTTACTTTTACGGAAGTACGAATAGATAATACTCTTTGGTCATCAAATGTGTGCATTACTTCTGAAACTCCATCCCTAATTAGTTTATGTATAGCTAATGCCAGGTCATATACATGGTTTAGGAATAGAAATCGTCGTACAATGACACGAGCCTCTCTATCATAGAAACAAAAGTCTGAATACTGGTCACATATTTATCTATGTTGCTAAATGCATCAATTGTCAGGCCATTTTCATTATAACATCCCCATATAATACTCATTTTGAATTGTCCTTTCTACAGTGTTCCCAACCTTATGACTGGGTTGAAGCTTGTAATTGTAAGATAACCTTATGAATTGTGTGTAGCTTGCAATTGTAAAATAAACGTATGAATAGCTTCTAAAATGGTTCATATTATTTGATTCACATTAAGATGGTATTACAGAATGACATCAACCATGTTGCATCTCGTATATTTGCAACTATGAGTAGCATATCATCCTCATATGCATGGTATGATAGAACGGCGTCATGCAGGCAACACAGAAAGGTGATGTATTTGATTTTATATCATCCCGAGAAAGATGATGTATTAAAACAACACCATACACGTTATTTCATATGCTTTCATTCACATGTAGCATATCACCCACATTCGAAGGGTATATGTCATGACATCATACATACAGCATAGCATCTGCATAAAAATAGTAAAATAGAACGATGTCGTTCATGCAGTATGTCATATACAGAAAGATGGTGCAATATAATGACTTTACACATGCATTATATCATTCACACAAAGACTGTAATAAAATGCCGCCATATATGCAAAATAACATCCACATGAAGATGGTGTAAGAAAACGACACCAAGAATGAATCATATCATCCACATAAAGATGGTGTATTAGGACGACAACATTATGTAGCATTTCAACCACAGAAAGATGGTGCAGTAGAATGACTTTACATATGCAGTATATCATTCACACAAAGACTTTAATAAAATCCACAGAAAGATGGTGCAATAGATCAACTTTACACAAGCGATATATCATTCACACAAAGACTTTAATAAAATGCCGCCATATATGCAGAATATCACCCACATGAAGATGGTGTAATAGAACGACACCATGAATGAATCATATCATCCGCATAAAGATGGTGTATTAGGACGAGAACATAATGAAGCATATCATCCACAGAAAGATGGTGCAATAGAATGACTTTACACATGCACTATATCATTCACACAAAGACTGTAATAAAATGCCGCCATATATGCAGAATAGCATCCCATGAAGATGGTGTAATAAAACAACACCATGAAGGAAACATCATCCACATAAAGATGGTGTATAAGGACGACAATATAATGAAGCATATTATCCTTAGTAAGATGGTGCAATATAATTACTTTACACAGGTAGTATATTATTCACACAAAGACTTTAATAAAATCCACAGAAAGATGGTGCAATAGATTGACTTTACATATGCAGTATATAATTCACACGACATTCACAAGACTTTAATATGCTGCCATATATGCAGAATATCACCCACATGAAGATGGTGTAATAAAACGACACCATGAATGAATCATACAGTATCATCCACATAAAGATGATCTATTAGGACGAGAACATAATGAAGCATATCATCCACAGAAAGATGGTGCAATAAAATGACCTAACACATGCAGTATATCATTCACACAAAAACTTTAATAAAATGCCGCCATATATGCAGAATAACATCCACATGAAGATGGGTGTAATAAAACGACACCATGAATGAATCATATCATCCGCATAAAGATGGTGTATTAGGACGAGAACATAATGAAGCATGTCATCCACAGAAAGATGGTGCAACAGAATTACTTTACACATGCAGTATATATGCAGTATAGGGGATGGTGTAATGACCTTCGATAGCAAGTCGCTACAACAGTCTCAGCTGTAGTGGCTAGCCTTTATGGCTCAGGGGTAGAGCGTCTGACTCTGAGAGGGGAAGGTCCTGGGTTCGATTCCCGTACAGGGCATTGAATTTAGCACATTCTCTTTCGAGTCTAGTATCTGGCTCGGTACACTACAGCTCCCCGACGAGCGTGCCCAAGGGTCGTTACAATATTAAAACAACATAATGCAGTATATCATCCACAGAAAGATGGTGCAATAGAATTACTTTACACATCCATTATATCATTCACACAAAGATTAATAAAATGCCGCCTTATTTAGAGAATAACATCAACATGAAGATTGTGTAATAAAACGACACAATGAATGACACAGATGGTGTATTGGGCAGGAAGATTTTGTTCATATATAAAGATTATGATAGAAACGGAAGGCGAATTAGTTCTTCTCGATATTTTTGGGATGATATTGGGAACAAGGGATTAGACAAAAGAATGGACCATGCGACACATGTAAACACAGGCTGGTAAACAGGAAGTTCCAAATTTTTCGTTCAGCGCAACACATAAAACCGGGCTCAGAGCTTGTTTTCAGATTTCTGATTGACAAGGCGGACCAACCAATTATCTCTAATTCACAGAGTATATATAAAGCCAAAAATTGCAAAGGGTATACAAGTATTTCGTACTATAGGACAGCACAGTTGCACATCATACGTTGTCAAATTTAAATGCATGATATTCAAGTCTGTTGAAGCCACTTTCCTCGAATTTGCCCAACGTATACCATGAAATAAGTTGTAAAATAACGACTTTTAAATGGTACCTTAATATTGATTACACTTTATGAAAGACACGTGTCATCATAAGACATTTATCCAGCCTCGAAACAACATAAACGTTTGCAATAGGTTTAAGGAATATCCAGTATATTTGCTAATTTAGTATTATCCCGTTGCACCTTCGACTCTTAATATGATTATGATACAAAATAGCAACTGGGCATTGTGAATAAAGACGCATTTTATGCAAAATCACTTTCAGAACCACGTTCTTTACGTATACATTCTATATCTGATTTGCCGTTTTACTTTGCAACATCATTGTTCGATATAATACTTTGTTTGTCCGATACGTCGTAAAGGATTATTTCAGGATTGTCTATTGCTGCCTCTTTACTGTGCCTAATACCATAGCCAAAGTACATGACGAAGCCTGCAAATACAAAAATTTAATCTCAACGCCTTCTCGACAGCCACGTTTTGTATCAGCTAAATGTTTGGTATTGGATAAATAACAGTGAATAAATACTACAATTAATCTGTTTTAAATGAAGCAGACATAGATAATAGCAGACAAATCATATAGATGTAGAGTCTCATATAGATTTATAAACGGTCGAATATGCTCAGTCACGAGGGAAACTTTTTTCTCACTCGAAAGTTACTTACCTAGAAACATCCACACTCCAAATCTTAACCAGGTGGAAGCACTAAGGGACAACATGAAGAACACGCTCAGAAACAAACATGTCAATGGAAGAAATGGCACGAAGGGCACTTTGAATATGAGTTTAGTTTTATTCACTGGTTGTCGAATGAGAATCGACATCAGGCATATTATGATGACCCCAAGTGTACAGAAAAGCAATACTGCCCACCAAGTGCCAGTGTGATCCTGGCCAGCGATGGCTACCACACATATACCAATCCAAATTGTAAGTATAAGAAGGATAATGGCCAAGGAGATTCTTTTAGAATGATCCGTAGCTTCCGAACAGTAGTCATCACCAGTATTAAAGATGCTACCAAAGCTGCTTACACTAAATGAACTACCAATTCGTTGATACGTGCTACCTTGTGGTGCTTCTTCCTGTTCATCGATAGACTCGCATTGAATTTCATCTACATTATAATTGTTACTATGTATTTCCATAGCCTTATACTCAGATGGGTATTCCTGATGTTTCTTAGAAGTATCAGTATCGGAATTTGAACGCTCTTTGCTTGATATAATTGAACTGCTGTTATCCGGAGTAGATCCATATTTACTTATTTCACCTTCATCCTGTGGTTGAATTCTTTTATAGAGTGTCGTTTCAGACGTATTGTTATCTGGATTATACTTTGCTTTAATTGACGCCGTTGGTGTATTTAATAAACCCGTGTTCTCACTTAGTTGTCGCTGTATATGGCTAATAGTGTTTGCTGACAATGTACTATCTTCATGTATTATGCCTATATTCTGATGCTGGTGCTCCCTAGATAGTCCCATATGTTCAGGCTGGTATCTCAAAACAAGCACACATCCGGCTGTCATAGCATAAGCCATCAGTGTACCTATTGCCATAAGCTCCACCAACGTCGGTAGATTGAGTAGAGTTGCTAATAAGGCAGACAGACTAGAAGAAACCATAGCAGCCAGTATTGGACTCTTGCTTGTATCCGATACATAACTCAAAAACTTGAATATTAACCCATCTCGTGCCATAGCAAATATAAGTCTTGGTAATGGATAAAGAGCACCAATGATGGAGGCAGTGAGGCCACACAGTCCACCTATTGCGATGACGTACTGGGCACCAGTCACGCTCATCTTGCCAAAGATCCGGGGTAGTGCTGCCTCGAGTGGAATACTGGATGACGGTACCATGAGAGTAATAACTGCCGCAACACTGAAGAACGCTATGAAACATATCAACAATGAGATGGATATCCCACAAGGTATTGAGCGAGTTGGTCTACGGGCTTCTTCTCCAGATGTAGCGATAGTGTCTACGCCAACATATGCGTAGAAGCACAATGCAGTACCAGACACAACCTAAAAGACATACCAACAAAGTCTTACATACACTCCTCTCCAAAAGCTTGGCAATGGAAACCCCAAACTTTATTTTTAAACATAAACAGCCGTTTACCAAATAGTTCTTCCAATTGCCAATCTTATCAAGAGGGTTATCCAAATAGGTTTATTTAACATCGGTCAATTTATCTAAATCAAAGTAAGTTGTCGTAATATGTAAGAATCTGCAGATCCCGACGAGAATCAATTGAACAATACTTTATAACATCAGTGATCACGTGAGCGTCCAGCAAGCTCTACGAGGTTGATACAATTACTCATAGAAAGCCTAATTGCATTAGAGCATTAAGCCATTGATTCCCTATTAAAAACCAATCAAGACATGTCTATGGCCAATATTATATCAATGAATTATTAAGGAAGATATTTCTAGCAGTAAGCAAGTCTATTTATATAAGTAGTGCAAATAAGACGACTTGATTAGAACGTTCAGTTGAACTAGCTAATCAATGGACCTTGGGTAAATGGGATGACCTTCATTAATGAAATATTCAGTTGATATACGAATCCCAATAATATAAAGAAATCAGGCATATCGCATGTCTGTGAATCGAATCTGTTTCTAATTAAACAAAATATACTATTACACAAGACCTAATGGAGCAAGATAAACGTATTTGTGTATTCCACAGGACTCAGTGGTCCCCTGGCATTAGTCAATTATAATTAAGTTCTACACAGTAACATGTGTTTACGTACTCCATGGAATCCATGCGAGAAGAATCCCGGCGACGCACTCCAGTTGGCTCTGTCAGCATGGAAGATCCCCACGCAGACAATACACATTATAACCAGGATGTTTAAGACCGTGAAGACAAAGCTCATGATTGATGAGATCTATTAAAATGTCAAAAAGTTGAATCTGAGATTTTACAAATCTGACGTAAATTGTAAATCATTAAATGCAATAAGCAGTCATGTAGACTAGAGATAATAAATCACTTTTGCGAGGATTCATTATGAAATAAGTAATCTGTTACTTTAGGAACATATTCAAATGTGCATCTACGCAATCAATTTAAATAATGGCTAATTTTGTCTCATTTATTTTAATTTCCAGTTGATTCCAAATAACTTACTCTACTCCCGGATGCAATGAGTATTGTCATAAAAAGTAAAAGTAGCATAGAGATAAAGTCGGGGTAAGATGACATCCCTGGTCCAGCCACCAGCCCAGCGTGCTCCTCTAAGGATCTAAAATAGAGAGAATGACCAAGAAAGCAGGTAGTGCTCAGTAGTCACCACTCAGTAGGTCGCGGTCAACTATTCATGCAGAGTTAAGGTGGCATATAATCCTGTATATTTTTGACATGACATTTCCAGAGAAATCGTAATTATACCGAGTGGCTTCACGAAAAAATAAAAAGGCTATACGCCTCGTTTATTAGTTTATAGAAACTGAGAAACCGAACGTTTCATTTATTCGTCCAATCAAACCCTATTTATTCTAATAGTCCTTCATCAGTCCCCTGTAAAGAGCTAGAAATGCCGAATTATTCAGACATTGACACTGCGTCGCATTTTTTTTAGTAATACTTGAATATTTAATCATTATGCGAATGTCACTTTGCGTATAAATTGATAAAGTTGTAACTAACGACACACGTCTATAATCAAGCTAATACCATTTTCTATATTCACTATTGATTAAAAAGATGAAACGAAATGCCTCTTTATATATCAGACACACCAGAAAACCAGGATTCTAAAGAATATGGAGATGTGGATGTAGGGTATAATTTACAAATCACCCAGTAGGATAGACAAGCTTTGTTCTGTCGACTTGATCGATTCTTATAAAATGCTTATATAAATGGCATGACTGATCTGATGTTGGAAGTCAATTGCTCTTAGAACATGAAAGTAGCATAACGAACTCCGGTTTTAGTAGGAAAGAAGGCGTATGCGACAAATGTAGCAAGGTGGTTCATTTGACAATTCGACTCACACTTTTATTGTGTCATTCAACATGGAGTCAAAGTATTGTGTCCAAGCCTTAGCTACAGCCGCCGCTCCGATGACGTTCTCCAAGATCATATTCCAACCAATCACAAAGCTCCAGAGCTCACCAACACTGACGTAGCAGAATATATAAGAGGACCCAGCCCTTGGGACCCGGGCAGCTAGTTCAGAATAGCAAAAGCCTGAAACGACAAACATTAATTGTTTTTTAATTGTGGTCGTGACATCTGGGAAATATGATTCAGATTGATATTCCTTGTGACGATTTGTTTGTTCAAATCCCCAGTCACTGCGAACTATTTCTTACTATGTTTTTGAAACGTGTTCCCGAATTGGTTAAAACTTTGTGCGAACGGATCGGACTTAGTTGCAACGTTTCATGATTTTTTTACAAACTCCTTGACGTGATCGGAGCGAAAGCGCTCCAGATCTTATTCCTCCATCCATCCCATTGTAGCTTGTTTATCCAGTTAGCAGACTTACCAAACTCGACCGAGTTACGTCTCTAGTTCACCAAAATTCCGTCCAACGTTCAAAACAAAATAAGGTTCTGAAGAACGTTACAACATAATTTAAAGAAGTTTTTAAAGTTTGAAGATTTACTCTTTAAAAGTTTCATTCAGTGAAGACAGTTTATAATCGAACTACCATAAGCTTGTATTGTCATCTCGACTACACCCTCTTTTTACAATTTATAAAACCGGAAAGGACGGTGAAGGAATGAAATGGGAGTATTTTTATATGTTTTCATAGCGTAAGACATCTGCTTTCTACTCATTTCCGGTAAATATACGTATAGTTGTTTAACGTATTATCAGTTTTGGGGAAATGGGAAATGTGTTACCTTATGCCTTTTTACTGGATGCATTATATTGAGTATGGAAATCCATATATAAATACTGACATCGACATGCAATTGGCAAGGGATCAGTTAATATAAGTTCAAAGCATTCTCAGTGGTATGTAATGAATAATATGTTTCTCAGTACCTACCTTTGGGGCACTTACAATCAATATATCAGACAGTATACAAAAAAGCGCAAATAACTTGATAGAAATAAAACTGGTTTAATGTTGGCTGCATTTCATCGTGTCATGGATGGATGAATATATACTATATCGCAGACCAGCTTAAAATTGTAAACCAACTGACAGATGATCAATTCGATCATCCGAGCCCAGTTTTAGATGAAATCAATATAATTCATAATTGCCAAGCAATTTAACCGATCCCTCTAGATTAAAGCACTGTACTTAGTATTCAGGAGATGGAGGATGCAGTTCAACAAAATACTGCAAGTTCTTTAAATAGCTTTAGGATGACCAAAATGTAGATTCGGTAGAGCAGTAACAGACTTGGCTGAATATAGGAGTTCGCACAGAAGCAACAAGAAAATGAAATCAAATGTCCTGGACTAGAATCTTATTTGATCTAAAGATTTTGTTTTTTAGACCCTCATAATTCTTTGATCTCAATATTTCATTCGATTTAATAGGATCCATTGATACGCCATGTCAAGATGACTGATGGTACCACCACTGTCTGTATCATAAAACTATTTAATAATTTGTCCAGATATGGCAATTCTTCATCTTACAAGTTATTCATATGCTCTAAAGTTTTACATCCCGTTGTACTTGATTTCTTCCTCGCTAATAAGGGGAATTGAAAAAAGAGTTTGAAAACTGGCTTTACATTGGATAAACAGGCTTAACACAAATTCTTTGAAGAACGTGCACATACATGCGTATTTTTGATACCTTGTTGTATAAAACATCATTTTTCACAATCTAACGGTTGGTCTCATAATGCTTTTTGTATTCTACAGTAGACATAATATTTTCTACTTACCAATTTTATTACAAACGGGTGTCTCTTTTTGCTGTACACAAAGAAAGGATACTTTGAAACTCAACAATTCTGTGTAAAATTGAGATTTTTAACTTCTTGCTGACAAGTTATTTTCTTTACTATTAAAATGATTCAATGGATGCAATATTATCATGACAAATACTACATAAAGAATAATAATAAAAACTAACGTTGGGTTAATTGGTCGAGCGAAAATTGTCCGTGAAATAGTACGGGGGACACACCTTATCTTTTGTAAATTGCAATAAATATTCTTGAAACACATACTTAAAACGAAGGAACGACATTTCTGAAAACATGGTCAGATGCACTGAGTTTTTGCAATGTGTAAAAAGGTGCGAGTGATTATTCAGCTAACCATTCCTTCATGTGAATGACAGACCATTGGAAAAAGGGAGAAATATGACTTCAGGTACATTGAATTAATAGATGCAGTCATCACTTTATTTGTTATAGTCACAATTTTTGATACGGACAAAGTTGCTCATCTTCTCACGAGAGTTGTATAGAATAATATACAATATACAAACATACCAGCCAAGACAGAGGTTGCAGCTGAGAAGAGGAATGATAGCATCACTGATGGTCCTGCGTGTTCTCTAGCAATCTGCGGTATCAACACATATACTCCTACTCCCAGACTACTTCCTACACCTTTAATGAAAATAAAATGTTAATTATTTATAAAACAACACGTGAAAACCGATCTGGTCTTAAATATACACCTATTTGTTATATAGTTTACCTGATAGGAAGGCTCATGCTGTTACAGACCGTAATGGTTATATTTACTTCCTTTCCCTAAAGATGATTCAAGAATGCCACTGTTATTAGTTAATAACACTGTCATTAGTTAATGACAGTGTCATTAGTCAAATGACGGGTCAACTGGAAGTCTGATTTCAATTCTCACTGGGATAATATAATGATTAAAGTTGAAGTTTTTTGATTTTGACTGTTTGTAGGAAAATAATTCAAATAATTATAACAATTAACAAATAGCCTGCCTGACCATCGATGTCTATTCAGAAACTCAAGAACTTGTTTTTTTAATAAAACATGAAATATCATCCCAAATTTGTGATTTAGGCAGCAAAACAATTGCTCGAGCGTAGCTTATACATAAGGCTTTTAAATGCTAACAAAATGGTCGGTTTTGCCAAACGCTTGGTGGGAGTGTATTCCTACGAGACAACCTATAAGCTCATCAGTCGTATTTCCATAGGCTATGAATTGTCTACTTTGCGGGACATTGAGTAATCAATACTTATAGACGTATCTTGAGTAGTTTCATTAGCTCTTATGTATGTTTACCTTTCTTTGAACAACTTAAAAGTAATTGACTTTTCCATTATGGTACCATACCAATTATCATTTCAATAACATACCGACCCGTTTGCCAATTCGAATGAATACTTATCACGAGCAATATTTTTAAGCTATCGAATATATGGTAAATTAAGCGGCATACGTGGTATTCTAGGGATAAAAGAGGAACTCTAGTTTATCAAACATGACATTCTATCGCAAATTGGCTAGTCGTTATAGTTAAATACAATTCGCTTTGGTACGTTTGAGGATTTTTCAAACGTTGTCTATCTGATAAAACGAGATGCCTAACCGATATGATGTCATGTTATTCCCCTACTCTCTCCATAGACACTGTTCATTGTTGAATTTGAAACTAAAAAAGCATTAAAATTACAAATCCATGACTCCATGTTGAGCTTGGAAACCCGGTTTTGTTTGAAAAAACTCATTATAAGATAACAATGGGCAGCATTCGACATTAAAGTTAAAAGGTGTCAAATACCAGTGGTTATATAATAGAAACATATCAATGAATGATGTGTCTTCATATAAATTTGTGTTTATGTCACACTTGTGACACATAAATAAGCTTATTTTTTACTAAAAACTGGTCTTACAATATACTCACCGATAGAGACAAGGTCCACGACACTGAGACATCTTTCAAGTGATGTGTCCTGCAGTCGATGGGGATCTATCGTCTTCTTGCGAGATATCGCACGCCATAAACGACCTATTGAAAGCATGGCGGAACTTAAGCTAGTCTTCGAAACTTCGCGTAGAAAATGTTTTGTTCCTAATTCGCAATTCTCGACGTTTGACGGATTATTGGGGCCACTAAATTATAGTTTTTCCCATTTTGACCTGCAAAAATATATAATTGGATTACTATCTTATGCCTCTGAATTTGCTTGGCATTACTAAGGACGTCTATTTCTCTTTTTTTCTTCTAGTCACTGTATGTTAATTGCGTTCTCCCGAGACATTGAGATCTTACACGAGTATACAGGGTGGGCGAAAAGGTGGTCCACTTTTAGAAATAAGGTAAGATACCTCGAAGCCTGACAACACTTTTCATAAGGGCAATATGATTTCAAATCCAATTTACAAATCCTTAAATCTTATATTATAACTCATAAAGCGTAAACTTAATCAGTTATGAATTTTGAAAATTATATACGATATACATTGTAGTACTATGTACATAACAACAGTAAAATATATCGTTTGAGAGAATTGAACTTTTCCATAGAAAAATTATCCATCTTATCGACTTTGAAACTAAGTAGAAAGACAAACGTATATTGTATTGTATTGTATTGTATCCTTTATTACCACATTATTACTATGTGAGTACATTACAATTTTCAATATTTTATCCAAACAATATACACAGTATACAGGTAAAGCTACAATTGAAGATTTTATTTAGCTTGTATTCGTGAAGATTAACCTATTAATTCTTAAACCAACTCGTCATTTTAACTTGAAATAACGAACGACCCGTTAATCGACGAACAGTGATCAGTGATCGCGCAGTTGAAATAGCGAACAGATAGTAAGTCATTGTTACTTGCTGCAACAGGTAGATTTACCCGTTATTCAGGTCAGCGATTTTGCTTGACGCAAAAACTTGCAGCAACCGGGATGTACGGTAGGTACTATTTGTATTTACAGGGTGGGTTAAAAACCATCACACAAGTTTAAAGATGAATGATTCATAAGGTATATGTTAAACCATGCCATGTATCATATACCATTTTAAAGATAAATCATTTCCTAACAATATGGCACCATCCAATTGAAAACCTTTGTTTTTTTGTGGAGTTAGAGGCTAAAATTTATACCAGGGGTGGCACTAGCGACGAAAAATTAAAAAAAATTACCAAATTTCCCTCCATAATTGTAGTTACAGCTACAGTCAATATGCTTGACTGAATCATCATACATTTATTTAGGAGTAATACATACTTGATAATTGAAATATAAATAATTGCTAATTGTTACGAAGTACTTAAGGAAGTATTATTGGTGAATTTTGCACAACCTCTTTTGAAGGTGCCAAAGTTAGAATTTCCCTCCATTTTCCACAAGTTGTTTTTTTGGTTGCTCATGACACCCCTGGTGTCAGTTTATAGCCTCTAGCTCCACGTGAAAATAACGTTTTTCTATCAGATGTTGTTTGGCAATGATTTATCTTTAAAATGGTATATCATACATGGCATGGTTTAATATTGATATACGTCCTTAAACTTGGGTATTGTTTTTTAGCCACCCTGTAAATACGTTTATTGCCATCAAATTCCAATCAACCCGGTAGCCGGTAGCCGTTATTTGCTTTCGCGAATACAAGCTTATAGATATGATATGTTAAAAAGCATGCACCATTCGATCGATTAACGAACATGCTTTTAAAGAAAAAATTGATTAAAGTTATTTTCCACTTTGTATACATTCTTCTAAACGACTCTAAATATATGTGGTATCTGTTTATATGTTTATATGTCCTACTTTTCCAAATGGTTTTCATCCAATGGGGAAACTGATCAGTGTCATTGTCACGTGATCAGACAAAATTAGTCTTCGTAGTACATTTTATGAAACCAATTGAATTCTGATTCTGAGAAAGGTATAGACAATCACGTTTCAACAACATCAGGTATGAGCTAACAGCATGTTCCGTAATTAACTACAAATACACGAGATTGAATTCCCAGTGAGTGACCTGCCATTTCAACAGTGATCACCGAAATCAAGAAAGCCATATTATATTTTATGACCACTCTGTAGATTTACGCATCAACTACGTAATAAATAATGTTCGATGTAATTTATACGGTAAACAATTCCCTTCTATGTGTTTTCTAACTTAGAATTTGCAATTGTTATCTTAAATGTCAGTTAACGTTTGCCAATGTTATTAGAAGGTTGTTCTTCGCTCGTTATCTTCATTTATCACTTTCTGAATGAAGTATTGTCTTATTACGTGTCTAAATCGGGAAGCATATCAAGACAAATGTGGGAAAGGTCGGTCATCATAGTCGATTTTGTTATTAAAGTAATACAATAACAGGACCCTGTTGACTAAGTTGGATCCTTTTTCCTAAAATGTTTACCCAAATGAAAGACATCCTCATATTGATGCGCTTATTACCGGCTAGATGTTTCTCATATATGAACTGAGAATTGTGGTAGTAATTAATTATTGACATGCGGTACACGATCGATCAAACTATAACATGTAGCATACTAACTGTTACGTAGCGAATTTCGCCAAACTAAAATATGCCAGAGAAAATGAAATAGAGGATAGCTGGGGAGCATAATTTTATTTTTGTATTTGGCGGATGTTGAACGAGATATAAAGCCGTTTCTATTGAGTGTCCCTATTGTGAACTTTTAAAGTGTTAATTGCTACAAATAGCGTCGTAAATGTCCCTAAAAAATAAATAGATGCTGCATTGGAAGTATTTTCGGATAGTCGTTATTCCTGAAAACTACTGTCGGGTACTTCTTGGTTAGCCAGTTCCAAGATGCAGCAAACAATGTCCAAATTAAGTATAAAATTAAGAGTTGAAAAAGATTCCCATTTTGCCAGATAACTTTAAAACCAAAGCATTAATCTGAAAAAAACTAAGTACTTTTGGCAAAAGGGCATTTTAGAAAATAGACATCACCTGAAATGAAGAGTAATTATCAATAGTATTTACGAAATTGTGACAATTGTCCGAAAGTTTTTATTCTTAGTTTGTCTTTCGAGTCAACCTTTAGCAACTCGTCTGTGTCGCTTTGTTTCCGTATAACAAAGAGGTTTATTTCAGGCTGACGTAAATTGGCATTCCTAAAGATGTTTGCTTGTTAGATAGAACAGAATAGACCCCAGCGTGCATTAATCAACTAGATACTGTGCCAAGAGACAGATGAAGAATACAAATAAGTTTGGATAATATTCAAATGTGAATCAACTAGAGATAACACATAGAATTTAGAACTCATTAGTTAGACAATTCAGTCAATCAAGGTAGATGAATGAGGGAGAGGAACACATTGAAGTAGAATGCATTGCTGTTAAACCATTCCCCATTCATCAAAAATGTCAAGATGTTTTCTCATCGCCGTCACGTCAAAAATCACTTCTATTTTATTCCACAGATCCCGAGCAAGAATTTTCCCTTAATACATGTAGATAACGTTAAGTTTGATATTATTCACGACAGAGACCAACAAGAGGAAAATCTGGCAGAGAGAGGTTTTCGTTTTATAATCGCATTCCTGTCGACATTTATCAACCATCTCTATGCAATTTTAATAGTTTACGATAGTGAAAGGTATGATCTGCGCACGTGTGTGTTGTGTACGGTTGGACCTAAGCGATCGGAAAATAAAATTTAATAAAAAGTAGAACAACATGAGTCCTGAGTACTAAGTCCTCATTTCCTTTCTATAAAATATTTCAGATGAGTCAGGATGTGTTAAACAAAAACGTCAAATAAGCATACCGTTTCTCTGCCATAACAATCTAAATTGGACCTTTTTTACATTGTCCACTGTGTCCACTGTGTCTAGATAAAATGACATTTGCATATGACGTCGGTTAGGTTTAAACTTTACAAGGGTCGATTAAAAGGTTTCTCACCGTTGGCTCTAGATTTTATGATAAAACGAGTTGGATGCTCAAACTTAAACATGAGACAGGATACTTAGTTTGCTTGAAACAGTGTGAGTTTCATATAAATCGGTTTAGTGATAGTGACACAGAGTCAATATATATTTTCAATGACTCAGTGAGGTGGAGCAGCGTGATTCATAAATAATATGCTTAGCTGTGGTTCTGGAAATTTCTGAAAACTTAATGTCATCCGTCTACAGACTGTAGTTTACCCCCCCCCCCTATCACACCAAACTAGTTCTTACCCGTTCTTGCCAGTCCTACGAAAACGCCGTAAAACGGGCTCAATCTGGCTGTGGTCGGGAAATATGTCTAAAATAATTAGCTATTAAACAGTCTTCAATACGTCCATCTCATTCGCAGTTCGTTCAGGTCGCACCACGTCGGTGTGCAACGTCGTATAAACCGTCCATTAGTCTAGAAGGTCATCATGACCTGGTTACAGAACGGGATGGTCGCCATCGAATTTTGAATCGATTCAAAATTCTAAATCACATTCCCCGTCCGGGAAAGTCCATGATGTTCGTAAACAGACCGTAGAACGTTGTAGCTACGTTCATTCCATTCGCACACAGTTTAAAACATTGGAAACTTGTTTGGTGTGATAGCTATATTTTTGCTAACTCGTTCATAAGCAGTCTTTAATACGCTCTTACCGTTTGCAATTAGTTCTACCTCGTTCTCAATATGTCCTCAGACAGTTCAACTCGTTGTAAAAACGTCCCTAGTAGGATTGAAGTACGACGGTTCCGTTCGTAGTACGTCCAGCTCATCGTTAGTACGTTGTCACTCGTTAGTACGTTGTCTAATTGTAGAATGTACGGTCCACCACGAGAACATTTTGAGTATGTTCTAAGTTCTACAGGACCTACCCGTTCGAGTGCGTTCGATGAAGTTTTTAAATAGACCCCAAACGGTTCTAAGACACGTCCAGTCCGTTCGTACACAGTTGGAACCCGTTTTCGAGAACGTAGTGAGAACTCGTTTGGTGTGATAGTAGGGTTAATCATGTTTAGGTATTGTAATATTCAATTATTTTTCTCCATTTCTGTCCCAAAAGGCGTTTTAGTATTGTATTGTATTTACACATTTGACTAAAACTATATTGCCATTTTGTTGCTAGTGGAAATCAAATCACGATCTAACTTTTATTGACCGGTACATTCGTTAGAGGGAGCCCAGTAGTATGGGTATACTGTATAGTAAGCAATCAGTAGTATGGCTGTGTAGAGAGTAAGCGATCGCGACCAGTAGTATGGTTGTTCTTCTAGAGAGTAAGCCAAGTAGTATGACTGTTTAAGAGTAGACCCAATAGCATGGCTGGCTATCATACATCATACGTCCATTTGTATGTCTATGCCATTGATGGCTTTGAAATAGTGATCAAAACCAGACAGTTTTTTAGTGATGACCATTGTGAAATATTGTGTTCTTGAATTATTGCATCGGCTTTGCGGATGGATGTTACCCTGCGTGCAGAGTCTAGTTAAACTACTCTCTTTTAAGAAGTGAAGTCAAACGAATGCAAAGGGTAGATAGATGTCGACCCTTAGATACGCCTGTCTAAAACTGTTTTTGGTTTCATGGGAATTTGTTATCAGTTTTAAATCCATTCGTCAACATGTATTGTAATAATTGCAGTATGAATGAATTGTTCCTTGGTGTTCTGGTCTTGGATTATGATATTGGTACTTGAATTGTGTTGGAGAGGGTATAAGACACTATTTCTTTCCACGTCATATTATGATTTGAGATAGTTGGGGTTTTCTTTTAGATGTTTTCTTTTCTTGCTGTCTTCTAACCATTTTTGGTACTTTCCCGTTGGCACTTTGGCATATACAGGGTGTCAAATAAGTTCTGCCCCTCCTCTCTACAGCCAAGACCAAGATATATGGTATCAGGTGTGATATATCATTGGAAAGGTCTTACATTGTATCAATTGAAGTGACCATAGGCCTAGAAACATGGCAATTTGGCGTATTTGGCAGGATTTTAAGAATCGGGTATAAGAAAAGTCAAAGGACCTAAAGATGACTACATATGTATATAGCAATGAATTAAACCAATTTCTGCATATGGTTACATGTGCAGAAAATAGAGGTGCATGAAAAAATGGTGAAAACATTTTTGTTTCAAGTGGAATGCGAAAAAGAATAACTTTTTGACGTATTTCTGAGGTCATATCCTTCTCATTTTGACGCAATGAAAGCTGCTTAAGGAGGGTACAGTAACTATGAAGGGCATCATGAAAATATAGGTGAATTTCATCCAAAATACTTGACAGTTGGTGAGTTAACATAACTTTGGATGATCTTTCCAAAGGTATATCACACTAGGTACCATATATTAAGGTTTTAGATGTAGCAGGGGGACGGGACTTATTTGACACCCTGTATATCTCATCTACTCTAGCGCTTAATTACCTATAGATATCTTACATGAAGACTTTGATATATATATAATAGGCAATGAAGGATTACAAAAAACTTAACAAATCGTCTCATTCTGTCTAAATCACACATTTCAAACCTCTTATTTAACTGTATTGAAACGTATAATTTATATATTGAATTATGCAGAACTATATTTTCCCAGTATGGTCTTCTTTCTCACAGTGTTAGTCTTATTCCAAGACTATGGACTATGTACGCTACAGAGCCAGGTTCACAATCTTAAGCAAGACTAGTTATAAGAAATTCTTTCCTACTTTGTGTTTTTGTAATACAGCCAAAAGAGAATGATGATTGCGATAAAACATTATTTACCTTTATATTCAGTCTTCCTTCATTACGGATGAGTGTCACACGAAGAGGAGATAATCGCATTTAATGATGAGTGCGTTTCTCAACCTCATCCGTTAATTTAGCGGGTATAATAGATGCCATGTCCGAGAGATTTCCAAAGAGTCTGTAAATTAAGTACAGGTTGTTCTCCGTCACGGATTCACCATCGATACCAACATGATGTAATGAAAACGAATCGTATAATAAAAGTCGTATCCAGATTTGTCGAATTCATGTATTATTCGAATATTTGCCCAATGGGACATAAATCAGCCACAGTAATGGGCTCTGGTATTACTCTGAATAATATTTATCTATCGACTAAGAGCCTTGAATCTGATAAATCCACATTCCATCGATATTCGATTTTTATGCACCACTGAAAATGGTATTGGTAGAATTGCTTGGTAGTTGATAAGATAATATCATATTTCTATAATTCATAAATTCTTATTAAAAGTAATATATGTCATTTTAAAATAAAATGATTTTTCGTCATCATACACGTAATATGTGTGCCTATTAACATTGGTACAGTATCTCAAAACATTGTATTTCAAAGTCTTTTCAATACATCTTATTAAAGCAATCATTTTATGTGCATGCATGGTTCTTTTACGAAGCTAAATGTTGATGGTCGATGACCGCTACATAAAAGTTATGGTTGCTATGGCAACACACCCTTGTACCCTTGAGCAGTTCAAAAGACATTGTTGATTTTATACAGACCATGTGCAGATGTAATTGTGTATGATCAAACATGTGTAACACATCAGATGTCAACTTCAATTAATTATTCACAACTTCAGTTATGCTTGATGTCATAATGTGATGTCAGCAATTTCTACAAAATTGCTGACAGTAAAGTTATCAATTATTTGTAAAAATGATCAAAGGATAATGGTCAAAATCATGAGAAGTTAATAAAAGCATAGCGGCGACGTTGAATATATGAAGGTTTAATTCATGGGGAAAATATAGACAAAAAGTAGGCAAATCTAATTATGATTTGAGAGCAGTTCAGAAAAAAGCTGGAGACATTCAGTCAAAGGGATTTGTAAACGAATGGATCGTCCAAACGATATCACCAGCAAAGCAATCTACTTACTTTAAATGTAATAACCCTAATATATGTGGGGGGGGCGCAAATTGACCTCCCCCTCTGTTTTTTGTTGTTTTTGTACTTTTTGAAAATTTTAGATTTAATTTTTTAATTTTTCCCTCTCTAAATTTTAAGTTTTACTAATTCGACTTATATGTCGTTGCTATGTGGTTGCTAGGCAAAATCATGAACCCAATTTAGATTAAACTAAGACCAAGTCAAGCAATTATCAATTTTCGTAGTAAAAAATTGGTTTTTGTGATACATCTTGAAATATACATACTGAAGACAAAATTGTAATGCTACTTTTAACAATTCAGAATTCCTCCTTTGAACATTAGTTAATATTATCTACAAACCGACATTCGAACCATGAATTGCAAGTCGTATAGTATTATTCAAATATCCAGAAAACTCATCATGTTTTTACTAATATTGCCCAAATATCCAAATAAATTATTGAATTTTTTGAAGTAGAGTTTGCAAAGGCTCATTATCATCTTTGATATTTTCAGAGCCATTAAAGAATGCGACAAAACTTTTGTAGGATATTATAGTACTATATATCATTTGGCTTTCAATATAAACAAATTGGACCATTCACTCGTTTGAAACAGTTTATTTTGTGCCACTGGTGTTACACCATTATGATGAAAATTAACCCTTTCGTGCCTTGAACTGAAGAGGAAAATGTTGGCCTGTTGCCGTATGACTAAGAGCGTTTTAAGGGAGAATCTGTAAATTTTCAATACCTAAATTATGACACTGAAATACAATTGTTGATAAGGATTTCCACATATAAACAACTTGCCAGAATCTTGTGTAAAAATATTGAATAGAACGAGAGAAATTGTCTCATTGATGCATATACATAAAAATAATGATGCCAAAAGGAGCCTATCGTCCAGAAATGTATTACATAATAGGCCTAGGTATGGAGCCTATCGTTATGAAAGAGTTAAAGCAATTCATACGCGTTTGACACCATCAGCCGGTGTCGACCAGTGAGACACTTTCTCACTTATTACGAAATGCTATACTACCCAATGCTGCTTGATACACTCACCTAAAACTCCTTCGAATTCTAGAATTTCTACTTTGCAGAAGCATCACCTGAAACACAACGTGCATATTCTACAGGGAGAGTATAATCGAGTCTGGATCGCCAAGAAAAATGAATTCACCATTTTTAACGAAGTTAATCATTTGAAAGGAGTCCGGAGGGAAATGGCCAGCTAGTAATCGTAATATATCTTAAGTCGACTTTTAACCATTTCATTAGGCGTGATATGATATTGTTACAGTATAACATCAAGTTTACAAAATATTGATGGTAATGGTGAAGTCATACGGCTTCTTTATGAGGTTAGCCGAATTGCAGCGTATGATTCAACACGGATACTTCGTAAATAATAAATGGCGTATTCATTAATAAACGAAGATTCTCTCCTCATACCTTATGGTTTCTATGAAATGCATTTTAGCTGAACGAGTCTCTGGGAAGTTAATTATCAGACGTTTGCTTCTCGCTGGTGTTATTGTATATACTATAGTACTCTTGTTATATACCCTTACATAACACGTTTAATTTTCTTCTATATACAAAACATCATATTCCTGCATACGGCTGCTATAGTAACCATGGGATAATGGAGTGCAAGGCCGATTTAATTCTTCAGCATATAAGTCGATTTAATGCAACATTGCATCGTTCTCTAGAATGACGTCCCAGTTCGACAGTTCATTCTAGTTTTTCGAAGTAAATCGTAGTTTCTTATAAGGTAAAATCTCTAATTTTGATATGTACATGAAAATCAAACTACTTTATGTAAGTATTTTAAACTACAAACTATATCAAGAACATTCATGATCAGGCGAAATAGAGAAAAATGCTCAAAACTTATTCAAAAATACTTGTCGCAGTCAACCTGCTCGTATGAGAAATTTATGTTCCAAGTGTTATAAAGATGGCGATGATATATTGCACTGGCAGATCTAGAAGCTAACAAGGGGGACTTGCGCGGAAAAAAATTTAAAAAATTGAGGCCCAAGTTTTGATTACTTGGCTAAAAAAGGTCCAAAAGGCCAAATTATGGCCAAAGAGGCCCATCTTTTGAAGACCTACAAATTTATTTGGGGGCCCTAACATTTTTTATGAGCCCACCATGCCCCCTGGATCCGCCAATGTATTGTACATTTCAAATTCCTCTGTAGTCGAATTAAAAATGGTATACTCATTCAAAGATGGCTCTTCTAAGCATATTGAAAATATAGGACAAATGTAAGGCAGTTTTGTTAAAATCTACGAAATATCATCTCATCAAAATCACTATTTTACCTTGATACTAGGATAATGGCAACTCATATTACTGGAGAATACTGGAGATTTCTCACTTGGAAGTCTATATATCAAATTCTCAATTTTACAATCCAGATAGAATTGTGAACTGACCTCTTGATGACATCATCAAAAAAGTATGTACAATACCTCCATTTGTTTACAAACCCTCATTCTCAATACAGATCACATGACTCATAAATGGAGGACCAAAACTTAATTTGAGAAATCAGACCATTTTCTTTTGTTAAAATCCCTGTCCCGTGAAGGATCTAAACAATGCAGATTATCTAAACCCTTCTAATTGAACACCATATTGCCTGGGGAGTTGAAACCTCAGCTTTAAGTGACATCTATATCTTTAATATAGATGTTTTCATACGATATATGAACACCGTCCTACAGAGACGCCTTTTTACATTTTGAAAGTTCAGTTATATCTATGTGTTCAATATCGAAGCGTTGCAAAATAATATATTATTAGTTTTTCCTTGTGTTTTGTAAATAATTGGATCATTCGAAAAATATACATTTTTTTTTAATTTGTCTTATATGCGAATGTGTCCCTAATTCCCCCATTAATTTAAACCCTAACCGACGTTCCTTTTTAGTTCCCAATAGGGGTAAGTACCTTTGATATCCATACTTCTGATGTCATTATTCCAATGGGTACCAGGTGTCTCATTTAGATGAGTTGTGTTGGAAACAAATGTTATGCCAATACCACTTTGTAACACAATGCTCAATCTAAAAACATTTATTAATACACATGTGTCTCATAAAATAGAGGTGTATTTAGGAAATATCGAATTTTGTAAAATGTTTATTAGATGCCGAAACAGTTAAATATTAGACAATATTTACACATTTTCACCGATTGATAGTCCCTCGCTCGATATAACGATAGCTAACCGAACCGAGCTAACCGAGTTTCACATGGTTTCTGAAAGGTTTCAAGGGGTCAATTTTCAAGAGATTTGGTTATATTCAACTTTTCATAAATGATCAATGCTCCGCCGACGTCGACATTATTCAGTTAGTTTAGAAACATACGGTCATAATGTACAAAAAAGATAACAAATATTCTCGTGCATTTTTGTGAGAATTTGTTGAGAAATGAAACATGCTGCAGCAATCATACTATTGTATCATCCCTTGTGTACATGAATACACAACATGTAAACATCAATGTCAATGAATAAACGAAAACAACGGTGTATTTACAAACAAATTCTCGAGGACCTCAAAAATCAATACAGGTATATTTCCAAAAGCAAATGAGTTTTCACGTTTTCCAAGAGCCGATTTTTAATGTATAAATTACACTTTGCCTTTTCATAATTGACAAAATCAATGCATATTTAGAGATTATGTCACTATGACGTGAATTATTATAAGTTATTAAATGATTTGAAGTGCAATATATTCTGCTCGAGAATTCCGTATTGGGAGGAGACGAAGTCGAGTGCCAATACAGAATATCGAGAGCACATTATATCCTGTGTTGCACTTCAAATCATTCTATAACGTTTTTATCGTGTGATCCTCTGGATTGCTACCGAGAATGTCCCCTCCGTACCAATATCTTCTGTATTGCGACGGAGATGATTGGCCGATATACTATATTTTCCCTCGGGACCTGCGGCC